AGGACGATGCACAGAGGAAAACACTCTTCACTAAACTTGCTGTAGCTTTGACTTTACTAACGCGTGGTAGACAACGATCCAGCGACGAACAGCAGTCACCTCCTGGCTTAAATGCTGCTCCCCTTAATGAGACACCTGGGTCTCATCTCCTGAGGGCGTGGGCCAAGGGCATGAACCCACAGTGAGTTCCGCCCCGGCGAGAGAGAAGAGGAAGAGAAACAGAGAGGGCTGATCAGCGTGCAGCTGATCCGCCTGGCCGTGACATGCTCTGAGTCCCCGTGTTTTAACCCAGCGGGCATGATTATGTGCCCGTGCAGGGAGGGCGGACGCACTGGCACCGCAGACCACGCCCCACCACACTCTCTCCAAACAATATTGACCGAACCAGCAGCAAATGAAGATCCAAACTAAGCTTCACATAAACATCGTCAAGGACTCCCTCTGATTTTTGCTGTTTTGCTTCCACCACAATAAAATCACACTTCACTCTCTCTCTCTCTCTTTCTCAGTGTACTTCAAGAACAGTTTCCCGTCTATCTCTGAAATCTGTTTTCTGCATTATTCACTTGCTTGTTACGCACAACACTACAGTTATTTACAGCGCTGTCGGCCGATGTTTTTTTTTTCCCTTTTACTTACTTCCGAAAAGAAAACCTAATTTCTGCCGTTCAATAGGCTTCTGAACAAATTAAAACTTTAAAATTATACAAAATGCAAAACGCTTAGCGTGTCTCTAATAAAACCGCTGTAACTTCAGAGGTAATGTTCATAAGTTGATTAATGATTTTCTTTCGTTTTTGATCTACTGCAGAATATTTTTATGAAATCCAGGCCAGGAAAATCACCTTCATGTTTTTCTGTGTTTTATCTTCAGCTACTTTGACACAAAGGCATCTGCTGTGATGCTCACACCTTTGATAAAGTCTTGCGAGTGTCAGCTTCCTTTTTATAGATACAAAAATATGTAAATATACTGATCTGAATTATAATATTTCTGACTGTCTGAGGCAAAATTTCCCAGATTCAAATCAAATTTAATCGAATCGTGGATCAAATTGATTCAGGAACTTGTGAATCGGAATCGAATCGATTCTAGAAATCAGTGACGATACCCAGCCCTAGTTCTAATCTCTAGTCTCTTTTTCTTAAAGAAAAAGGGGAGATTGTTAAGATGTATGTAACCTACCTACTGGCTATGCGCAGGCGGGAAAGGGGGGGCGGAAGTTTTATGTGGGGACTTTCCACTTGTTGTAAAAATGCGAGTAGACTCTCAAAAATATATATATCTAAATCTTTTTTGACCCAATAATCTGATTTCTCTACAGTTGGTTCCTGACAAGCTGATTGTGATCAATTCCAGCAGATGCTGCCAGTGTGAGTAAGAAACAGAGGGCTAAAAAGCACCTGGCTGATGCAAGATGGCTTCAGTCTTTCTACACAAGTGAGCAGACTGACGATAATGTGCTGAATAACTGGCAGGGGGCACTCTCACTCACAATGAGATGCATTTTTTAAAAAAATATCAGGCAAACAAGACTGCTGGTACTTCAGCTGAGCAAAATTTGAACAATTGTAAACTTTTAACCCTGGCTCTCAGCATAGAGCTGGTATGCCCAATGGTGATTTTTTATTTTTATGGGCTGATGTTTTTTTGTTTGTTTGTCTGTTTGTTTTTTGCAATGGTATAAACATTTAAAGGCATGGATTGGCTAATTGGTCATGATCGACTCTAGGCTGGACCAATTACAGCCGATGAGGTTGAACTTTAAAGTTCTGTTTTGAGGTGAAAAGGAACGCAATTTGTCCCATACTTCAGCTAGAATGAAAAAAAAAAGACGCAAAGCTGGAGTTTTTCTGCGTCTTTACGCTGCACAGCTGCCTCTTCTTCTCTCATTTTCTCCCCCTCCTTCTCCTGTTGCTATTTCAATCATGAAATTGATCAATGATCAGCTGATCGGCTTTTCTCTCTTGTTTGTTTATCGTCC